GTGGTGGAGTGAGATTTATTTTTTCTTCCAAAAATATTTAATAGATAACTTATTTTTTACATGCATAAATATGTATATTTTAAAACTTTTTACATGCATAAATATGTATATTCTAGTGTTATTATACCAAAGGGTTAATTAGATCTATGCTGCTATAAATAAATATCACGTTTTTGAGCTCTCGCCATACTATTCATCATATAGGAATCATGGCATTACAATTCTACGTCTCTAGTGACGTTGGGCCCACGTATGTATAGTCGTCTACACTTCTGACTTTTTGTATGTACCAACCCATGTGATCCTCTACATCTCACTTACAAGTGGGCCCTCTTTGTCATCCCTTTCCTAACACTCCCGAATTTGTCTACAATTCTTCACCTTTATAAGAAAAATGGACCAATGGGCCATTAAGTTGGACTTTGGTGTTTGATGAACACCATGACCATTTGAACTAATGATGTTTGCTAGTATGCAAGGTATAATTCCAATGGATGTAAGGTGGACTTAGACTTAGGCAAAGCGGTGATCCGGATGATCAACACCTCAAGCAAGATATTAGAAGCTATGTTAAAGACATAAAGGTAAGACGAAGACATGCGAAAAATCTGAGCCAAATGTTGCATCCGTTGATAGCGGAGGAGGCACCGGACGAATAGTGCACACTGTTCATGGGTAGCTGCAGCTGCAGCACCCGATCTATTCGGTGCAAAGAGCTGAGGAGCACCGTACTACAAGGTGCCAGCCAGTGAAGAAAATCAGGGCTCAAAGACTCACCAAACATGTCCAGTGAAGGCATCGGACCATGCACTAGAGCATTCTAGTAGACAGGATGCAGCAAGGTAGGAAGAGATCTACAATGCACCGGACCTGTCCTATGGCCCACCGATTCAAGCACCAGAGCATTCTTTTCCAGCAACGATCGACAACGACTAGTTTTTCTAATGGCTACCTGACGTAGATGCACTGGACCTGTCCGGTGAGTGCGTAGACTACCCAGTCTACTGCCAACGGCTAGTTTTGCATGGGAGGCTATATATATCCTCCTTGTTGACCATTTTAGGTGTGTAGGAGTTGGGAAACATATCACGGAAGTTGAGGCTCCACTCTAGTGCTCTTGCCACCATAGTGCTTAGTGAAAATTACTTGATGATTAGTGTAGGTGCTTTTATAAAATGCTTAGGCTAGTTAGACCACCGCTAATGCATTTGCTCTAGGTTTAGGTCTAGTTTTTAGTGAGGTTTGTATACCATTGACAATGATTTCATCAATATTTTGGATAGTCAAAAACATCACAAAAATGTCACAAATGAAAGGAGATTAATCAATCATGAATGATCTTGGTTCAAATAACTTGGTTCTATATGTACATATCCTCTATTTAAATGTAGGTACAAAATAAAAGAAAAACCAAATTCAGGGGCCCAACTGGACACGTTGGCCGACCCCAAGTATGGCAAATGGGCCATCCCAATTCCCAACACATCAATATGATGTATTATGCTCATAGAAGTTATTTGCAAAAGAAGGCCTTGATTGGCGAAAATGGGCCGGTCGCCCGACCAACTATTTTGGCCAACTCAACCCAATTTTGGTGTGGTGAGAAAACACACTCCCAAGTGTCCTCCGGTCGTCGAATGCAAAGTGTGCTTTCTCTAGATGGCCGATGTGCATGTCACATGGATTGAAGGGCCCACAACTCGATCACGTCCTCAAGATCTCCAAGTGGCCCTACCACTTTGTACACACACCAGAAGGAAGAAGGAAGCCTCCCCACCTCATGGGGAGGGCCCACATGTAAGTGGGAGGGTTGGCCAACCACCCATGTATGTCGACCGACCACCCTTTTTTCTGGAGATCACTCCCACCGTCTCTCCTCAGGCCCTATTTGGCAGAGCTCTCAGAGCTGATTCTTAGCTGAATCTAGTAGGAGCTTTGCCAAATAGTTTTCCAGAGAAGTGATTCTCTACTGATTTCGTGAAGTGATTCTCTGAAATGAACTAAGAGATTGGAAGCTAAAATAAAAAGTAGCTTCTCCTGATTCTCTGAAGTTATTCTCTATCGTGATTTTGAGAGTTTATGTTTAAGGATCAAAGAGAATCACTTTCAGCCATATAATCATTTCTCTTAGAGAATCAGCTTTCATAAAGAATCAGAATCAAATAGAGCTCTACCAAATAGGGCCTCCATCAACATGCAAAGAAACACGATTTAGTTTAATCTTCACCCTTAATTTGAGGCAAGAAATGAATCAAGCAAGCTATCCGAATCTTGTTTCTACTTTACCTTGATTTCTGTGCGAGCAAGGTTTGCCTTGTTGCCCCGGGAGAACCAAAATGGCTCGCCCAGGCTGGCAAGGGCCTCGTGGCTCGCGTCAACGGGCGAGGTGAGCCTGGCAAAGTTTCCAAGCAGTTACCTACAACTATGGACCGTCTGATGTCGGACTGTGTCATGGCTGCTGCCTTTGCTGTTATATCCGATGAATTACCAGCAGAAGCTTAGGTGGTGTGATGCATATGTGTACGTGGCCTGTGGTGGTTTCCGTCGTCGCTCTCCGCCGCCTCCTCGAGAAAGACTCCGGCCTCCGGGGTGTTTCCATCAAGGGCAGTCCATGTCACATCAAAAATAATTAGGAGGACTAAATATGAGCTAATTATAAAATTAATTATAAAGATAAAGACTAATTTGTTAGACGAATCTATTAAGCCTAATTAATTCATCATTAGCATATATTTACTGTAACACCACGTTATAAAATCATGGATTAATTATGTTTGATAGTTTCGTTTCATAAATTATTCTCCATCTGTACACTTAGTTTTGTAGCTAGTTTATATTTAATACTTCAACTTACTGTTAAACACCCGACGTGATAGGAACTCATCCGGAGAACCAAACACTCCCTCCATCTGTCAGGATCAGGTGATGAATGCCAATTGGCCCGATGGGAACGTGGCGCGGACGGGAGTCCTCGCCCCGCCGGCAATCTCACAGCGCTTACTATTCCACGGTCAGATGAGAGGAGCCGTTCGTTTCTCCCCTCGCGACCGACGCGCCCCCATCCACACAGACACAGCCACACAGGCAACCCTGCCCCCGCGTCAACGGGTGCAGCAGGGCCACCGTGTCCGTCGAGCGAAGGACTTGAACTTGCGGTTGCCGGGGGGAGAACTGCATCTGCACGTGACCGTGACGTCTCTCGCTCGACCACCACCCCTTCCGGTTCCTCGCGCCGTGGCTTGGACCTTGGTCGAGAGTATAATTGCTCTCCATTTGGAGACAGCAGATTGATTGATCATATTCCATCCTCGCAGACACAGGCATACATTGCCCCTTCTTCCACTCTCGTGGCGGACGCGGCGGCGGCCGATCTCCTTCCGCCTACGTCCTTCACCTTCCTCGTTGCCCACGCCTGACGCCGGCCAAATGCGGTGGCCCTGGACGGTGGAAGCCTGAGCGGCCCCGCCCGGCGTTCCCTTTGCTCGCAGGATCGCAAGGCCCCCTCTCCCTTCCCCAAATTGCCCGGTAAAAATCCATGCCCTGATTCACCCCGCTGCTTTTAGTTTCAGCGAGTTATGCTTCGATTGTACCCGTGGTCATCACTGTACAATCTTGGGTCTCTTTTCTCTTGGAAATTTTGCGCCTTTGTTCCTCCTCTCTGTGTTCCCGGGCTTGTTCCATGTGAGATTCAGAGAAACACCCCCCATGCTCCTCCGCCTGTAATTTCTCATGAACCTTTTATATTTCCTAACTGACAACACATTTCACAATTCCGTTATTAACCGCGTACTGTACTTTTTATCCCCCGCTGATACATTACCATGGTTCGGGAATCCAAGATAACCATGCAATCTTTCAGCACGATTTACGTGCTTCTGCTCGAATTACCATGCTTGGTCTGTTTTCCGGCCAGGACCACCAATTCAATTCGTGTGCTTCTCAATACAGCTCTACCTCAGTTTCATACTTGACATAACCGTAGAAACGAGTTTGTTGCTACTTTTTATGAAACTGATTATATACTTACATAGTAAGCAGTTGAAGGAAAACAAGTGGTTCATCCGTTGCTGCAAACTGCATACTGTTCTTACATAGTTCCGTTGTTGCCATGGAACTGACTTAGTGTTGCTCGTCTCTCTGGATTCTTACCAAACTTGGATTTTTTTCCAATAATTATATGTAGTTCTTGAAACGAGTAGATCAAGTTTTGACCGGGTCATTCTCAACTGCACCTCACTTTCTTTAACTGGACAGAGTGTTTCAAAGTATTTTGCTTGGTAGTTTTGGGGCTATGGAGCACGTAATAGAATCCTTTGTCTATAATGAGAGTGCCAAACTATAGCTTTAAGCCTTTAACTGATGTCTCCAATTCATTTCAGTTCATCACGCAGTAAAGTAAATCTGGATTCCTCTTCTTCTTTTCTGATTAAAGAAAAAACATTTCTGTTCGACTTTTTTTTTCGCAAATGTGTCCTTGTGACACGTGTTTCATTAAGTAGAAGCAGAGTTACGGCAAGTTACAACGTTCCCAAGTAATCCATAGATTACCGTGGAAGGAAGGAACCAAAACAAACACACGAGAAACTAGCTGTCTTTAAACTAATTTACATCAAAGATTTGCGACGAGCTAGCTATGAACTAAAGGCAACGGACTTCGGATAAGCCGGAAACCTGCCAGAACCCAGAGGTTGGCTTCTTCGATGATGGTGTTGAAGACCACGCTCGGCGCAGCGGCTTCGTTACTGAAAGTCCTCGAGTTTCTCTCCTTCCACATTTCTCTGTTCGACTGGTCCAAGTTTGTTCACTTTGTCGCGCCTCATCAATTCGTCCGAAGTATATGCTGTTCCTTGTTCCAGTTTCTTGTCTTTTTCCCCTTGGTTTTCAATAATATTCAATTCAGATTGCTCTTACCGTCTCAGTCACCTATAACTTCCACTCTCTTATATTTGCAATCTTGCTTAGTTTTTCAGGTTAATTAGAAGCTACTTCAGTATCCAAAGATGGTTCATCATGAGCCAGATGAGGCGACTGCAGATGAAACCAGCATCTCAACACAGCCTCCCTCATATAATCCATCCCAAGCACCAACGGTGTACAAGGTCGGGTATCCTCAGAAGAAGAACCTCGCCACAGAGTTTACCAACGCACTGAGGGAGACGTTCTTCCATGACAACCCACTAAAGCAGTACAAGGACCAACCTGGGTCCACAAAGCTCAAGATGGGATTGCAGTTCTTGTTTCCAGTCTTTGATTGGGGCAGGACCTACAACTTGAACAAGTTCAAAGGTGATCTGATTGCCGGATTGACAATTGCAAGTCTCTGCATTCCTCAGGTATCAAGCAATGTTGACTGATATCACCTACTCCCTCTATTCCAAACTATTCATTCTTGATTTTCTACATAGTTTTTACTATGTATCTAGACATAATTTATATCTTGGTACATAGCAAAAGCTATATACCTAAAAAAGCTAGAACAACTTACAATTTGGAATAGAGGGAGTATAAATTAACTACTTACTGTGCTGACAACGAGTCTTGGACTAAATAGGATATTGGCTATTCAAAGCTCGCTTATTTGGATCCGCAGTATGGGCTTTGTAAGTTTCATTGCGATTCTTGATTGATGTCTTATCAATGCCATTTTAATCATCTTTATTTTTGTAATTCGGTTTCAGACTCCAGCTTCATCCCTCCATTGATATATGCTGCAATGGGTAGCTCAAGGGATATAGCAATTGGGCCAGTTGCAGTGGTATCCCTTTTACTAGGTTCACTTCTGCAAAATGAGGTTGACCATGAAAATAATAAGGAGGAATACTTGCGTCTTGCTTTTACGGCCACCTTCTTTGCTGGTATCACTCAAGCAGCCCTGGGATTTCTGAGGTATGGCGTGTATGGTACGGTATTTTTTAAGCAAGAAAAATGTAGGTCCATCGATCTTAAAAATACTATGTTTTTCAGGCTAGGTTTCCTCATTGACTTCTTGTCGCATGCTGCAATTGTTGGATTCATGGGGGGAGCAGCCATCACTATTGCTCTGCAGCAGCTCAAATACGTGTTGGGTATCAGGAACTTCACAAAGGAAACTGATATAGTTTCTGTCATGGAGTCTGTTTGGGGTTCAGTTCATCATGGAGTACTTATCTTGAACTTAACACTCTATGAGGAAATAATTTACTGTCATACTGACTACTATATAGTTATCTGATAAGGCGTGATTTTGTATGTATGCAGTGGAACTGGCAGACAGTTGTTATTGGCTTCGCATTCCTTGCTTTTCTTCTGTTCACGAAGTACATTGTGAGCATCCTTATTTTTTTCCAGACAATTTTGCTTTAATAATTTATTTTGGGGAAACAGTATAACCTAATAATGGTTTTTCATGTACACAGGGAAAAAGGAATAAGAAGTATTTCTGGGTGCCAGCTATTGCTCCTATAACTTCGGTTATTCTTGCTACCCTTTTTGTATACCTTTTTCGTGCTGACAAGCAAGGTGTTCAGATAGTAAGTACTCAAATTAGTGCTGTCAAGGCTCGATTATTTTTGTCATAACCTCAACCTCCACAATAATACAGGCCCTAAGACCCAGCTCAAATACATCATGTTTTAACTAGTGATTCATTTTTTGGCACTTGATGAAAACAGGTAAACAAAATAAAAAAGGGCGTCAACCCATCATCTGTGCACAAGATTTATTTCACTGGTCCATTTGTCGCGAAAGGGTTCAAGATCGGTGTTACTTGTGGCATGATCGGTTTAACAGTATGTATGCTATGCGAACCCATCTTGTCTTGTGATCATCTTGTCCCTCATGCTCCTTTTCCAATTGACTGCGCATCAATCTTTGTGTTAATACCTTATTATCAGGAAGCCGTGGCCATCGGAAGGACGTTTGCTACCATGAAGGACTACCAGATAGATGGGAACAAAGAGATGGTAGCACTTGGAACGATGAACATAGTAGGCTCAATGACGTCCTGCTATATTGCAACAGGTAAACATTTCTGAACGAAGTTATAGCGATTCTTCCAAAAACTGAAACATATTTGCTGCAACACTTTCAGGTTCTTTCTCTCGTTCGGCGGTCAATTTCATGGCGGGATGCCGAACGCCAGTATCTAATGTGATTATGTCAATGGTTGTGCTTCTTACCTTGTTGGTCATCACACCACTGTTCAAGTACACCCCAAATGCGATCCTGGGTTCGATCATAATTTCTGCTGTGATCGGCCTTGTGGACTATGAAGCAGTAATTCTCATTTGGAAAGTTGACAAAATGGATTTCATCGCGTGCATGGGAGCATTCTTCGGTGTGGTTTTCAAATCTGTCGAGATAGGTCTCTTGATTGCTGTAAGGACTAAGGACCCATATCCTTTGGTTTGGCTGTCGATTAGAGTAGTTGTGAGCTGTGACCGAGGAATGAGTGAAACTTACATGACATCTCTGATATTCACAGGTGTCAATCTCGTTTGCCAAAATACTTGTCCAAGTAACAAGACCAAGGACTGCGCTGCTCGGAAACCTTCCAGGCACCACAATTTACAGGAACACCGAGCAGTATCCACATGCAAGGCATGTTCCTGGGGTGGTAATAGTGAGGGTTGATTCTGCTATTTATTTCTCCAACTCCAATTATGTCCGAGAGAGGTTTGTACAGATATATACAAACACCGTGCGTTGCGTGTATAGCTTCATTATCCTCATAATTAAAATGTCGTGGGGTGTGTGCTCTCCATTTCAGAATTCTTAGGTGGTTGACAGACGAAGAAGACAAAGTCAACGCAGATGGACTGCCTAAAATCAATTTCTTGGTAGTAGAGATGTCACGTAAGTAGAAATCTTCTGTTAATCAGATATCATGAGAGTTTAGCTGTGGTTTCTACTGATGAAATGAAAGCCAATGCATTTTTTTCCTTGCAGCTGTTATAGATATTGATACGAGTGGTATCCATGCCCTTGAAGATCTGTACAAGAATCTTCAGAAGAGAGGCATTCAGGTACATAAACTGAAACTGTTTTCTTTTTTCAAGAAAACTGAAAGTCTGAAACTAAAATTGACTGACTCAAAATATCACATTGGATCGTGGCACTTGAGATTCCACTTAAAAGAGAACAAAATATCACATTTGGAGGAAGATTAAAAAAATGCTACTCAAGAAAACCAACAGAAAAAAAAAACACGAATAGGGAAGAACTTAAATGTGCCTTTGATTTTAACCGATATGTTTGTGTTTGTGCATGTGGAAGCTTCTCTTATCAAACCCTGGCTCTGCCGTGATTGAAAAGCTCCACTCATCCAAACTCACCGAGCACATCGGAAACAATCATATCTTCCTCACAGTTGCAGACGCCGTGCGTTTCTGCACTTCCAAGTCGATGCAAGAGCCTTGAACTGAAACGGATTTACGTCCGGAATCTGTTCTCTAGTATATGCGTCATGTATGATGTACTATTCATGTAATGAGTATATATTTATGTAAGATCACTGTTGCTTAACGCAAAAGCTAGCGAGCGATAGTGTTTCAAATGAACAGTTTTTACAGACAAGAGGATAGGATCAATCATCAGCGTATAGCTTTGATCATGTACAAACCAAAGGAAACATACAACAAAATTGAATTCGACATGAGGCAGACACTCCCTTGAGTGTTGAGTCCTTCCTGTATTTTTGAAAATAAAGAAGAGATACTAATTACTCAATTACTCCATCTGGTCCTTTTTATATGGTAGAGTCTTTTAAATTACACTTTGACCACTCATATTTATGATTATAAACTTATGATTATTGGATAGTACATTTGATTATAAATCTAATAGTATCAAGTTTGTATTATACTAGTTAAATTATTGGCCAAATTATTAGTTAAAAATTAGAAAGTTTAACTCTTGACATATGCAAAATATCTTGTAAACTGGACCGGAGGAAGTAACTGATATTGCTATTGTTGTTTCAGCCTTTTTTCTACATATGTCTGATCATGATTCCATAAGATGATGTGAGTACAACGCCAGTCATAGGGACTGGATGGCCTTTTTGTTTATGTTTTTATGGGTATTTTCTTAATGTCCAACATGGTGATGTGAGGTGCACCATAAATTAGGGATGACAATGTACCCACTTAACATGTACTCCATCTGTCCTAAAATAAGTGCACTTCAACGATCAGAAACGCTCTAGCCCGAGCGTCGGACCCTCCAAAAAATATCGGGCGGACTCTCCAGGCTCATGTGTCCCATGGACAACCACTCGTCCCCTAATTAATTCCTATCTACTCATTTCTCAGGCTCCACCGACACCACGTCTTGCTCTGTCTTTTCTTCAAACTCCTCACTCCTCTCATCCTCACCAGGCGAACGGCACAACGAGCTCAGCCATCCCCATCCTCCTCTCACACACAGCAGGCACGAGTCGCTGTTGTTCCTGTCGCCTAATGGGATTGCTTCGACTGCGGGCGGCGGCGGCAACAACTATCTGAATGTTGCGCCACCACTATGGTTCCGCCCTCCCGCACCAATTGCATGTCGCCGTCGCGGGATGCGTCCGCTGTGCCGCCCTCGGTGGGGCAGCTGGACCATTCGGAGGCGTTCTTGGACATCGTGCTGGGCTACATCAACCACAAGCTCATGGCCAAGGACATCGACGATAGGTTCGAGCACTACCTGGAGCACCCTCGGTGTTCGCTCCGCTGTTGACGATCTCTCTCTCTCTCTCTCTCTCTCTCTCTGGACTGCACCCGAGCACCGCTTGTTGGCAACCGCAATCCATAGTTCTCCACCAGGTAGGCCATGGCTGCCGGTGATGTCGTGTTTCAAGTGTTTCAGGTGTTTCAGACGTATGTTTCATCTAAATGTTGTGTATGTTGCAGTGGCTATATACGCATGCTGCAATCCTATGTTTCATGTTGCAAGCATATGTTTCAAGTATTTTATACGTATGTTTCAAGTGTTTCATATGGATGTTGTAGAAGTATATCTGGATATTGCATAACATGCATATTGCAAGCATATGTTTTAAGTGTTTTACGTGTTTCATACGTATATTGCAAGTGTTTTATCTGGATGTTGTAAAAATGGATCTAGATGTTGCATATGTTTGCAATGACTTTCAAATGTTTTTCAGGTGTTTTTGCAAGTGTTTAGATGTATATTGCAAGTGTTTCAGCTGTTTTGAACACATGTTGCAAATGTTTCATTTGAATGTTGCAAAAGTAGATATAGTGTTGCACATATTGCAATGGGACCCACCTATAGCAGCCGTGGGGCGCAGACATCCAGGAGGGGGAGCAGAGTGGGCACGAGCGTTCCTCGCTTGGGGTCGGGTGGCGCGGGTGAAAGCCCTAGTTTGGTTTTGGATAACTGATGAAACCTATTGGACTAACCCTGTGCTCTAAGTGTGTATTTGAGATAGGTTGGTCCAAGTCCAAGTGTTGGAGCTAGATGGCACTCAGGTGATGAAAGTGGCCAAAAGATGGAGATCATGTGCTCCAACTTGGAAAAGAAGAAAGAGAAACAAAAATGGGCTCAAGGCAAAGGTATAAGCAATAGGGCCATTTTTGTTTTGTCGGTCAAGACACTATAGAGATGTGACCGGATTTTGGATAGATAGCCGCACTATTAAGATGAGAGCTCTTATCGGACAATTTGGTCATCTAGTGCCACTAGGTGTTGCCAAACTATGCATTGCATATAGGTCTAGTGCACATCAGTGATCAAGCGAAAATGATTGTGAAAATTATATTGGAAATGCTAACTTGGCTCTAAACATGTTTGTGAAAACATTTGAGAGTTAGCAACGCTTGCGAAGGAGTTTTCGGGCTGTCAATGTCGCCACCTGGGTGGCACCAAACAGGCTGTCCGATGGGCTCGGACAGCGCTGCCGAGCAGCCGAGCGCGCCCGAGTCCTAGCAGTGGCACCACCGTGTTCGGTGTGCACCGGACAGAGCACCGGACAGGGTGTCTAGTGCACCGTCATGCCCACCGCCGTTTATTTCTAGAGACTTGGTGTTTCGGGACTACATGAAAATGGTCACTAGACAGGGTGTCCGGTGCACCGCCGTAAAATTCCAGAGGCTATCTAAATCATGAACTTCGTTGTTGGAGGCCACCAGACATGTTGTCCGGTGCACCAGACACGCTGTCTGGTGCCCTTGTCCTCCAATGGCTAGTTGAAACTAACCGCTAATTTTTGACCGTTGGGGTCACCGGACAGGCTGTCCGGTGCACCGTGGCCCTGTCTGGTGCCCCCATAGAAACTGCTCCAAAGGGGTAACATCTCTATTTCGTGGAGGGGCTTATAAATAGCCCCCTTGGCTAGCCTTGGCCACTCTCTTGGAAACCCAAAGTGCTGAGAAAACATATTGGGAGCTAAATATCATAATCCACTCACTTGCATTTCATCACTTGAGTGAGATTGGAGCGTCTGTAGTGCATTGCTTAGTGTTCTTACATCTTGTGGCAGTAGTTGAGCGTGTTGGGCTGGTAGAACTCTTGTTACTCTTGGTGTTTGCTGACACCTAGCCGCCCAGAGATTGTGGGATCGTTGAGTGGCTATTAGTGATTGTTGTCGGCTCCGATCATTCGATTGTGAGGGGTTCTTGACCTTAGTCCCCGCGGGAGATCACAAAAAGATACTCTAGTGGATTGCTCGTGACATTGAGTACCCTCTCTTGTGTTGGTTCTTACGACGCCTTTGTGTAAGGCTAGGCGTGTAATGCCTATTAGCGCGTGAGCCACCAAGTAAGTGTGTCGTCACAACGAGGATGTAGATTGCCGGCAAGCAATTGAATCTCAAGGATAAATCATTGTGTTATCTTGATCATATTGTGATTGATTTGTCTCTTGCCGGCTCGGTATATCATTCCTACACTTGCTCTTTACATTATTTGTTCATATCTTGTGTAGAGCTTGTTGTTAGTTTTGCTAGTTGTATTTAGTTGTAATTAGCCTAGTCACTAGCCCTCTAGTTGTAAGTAGTTGCAACCTAGCTAGATTGTGTGCGACTTAGAGATCATAGCAAAAATAGTATATTGGTAGGTGGCTTGCCTTTTATTGTAAAACTAGAGCAAAACCGCTTTATCGATTTGTTTTTATCTAACCACTTGCTCTAGTGAATTTGTAGATTTTTAATTAGGCTATTCACCTCCTCTAGCCATTTAGGATCTTTCAGTGGACCCAACGTGGGTCGTGAAACAGAGGTGCAAGCGGTGTCCGTTCAGACGTCTCGAGCGCTAGCACTGCCATTCTACGATTGAGGGAAAAAACCAACGTCACAGCAAATTACATAAATGCTCCTATCAAAATTTATAGAAACATGTAATGATTGCGCCTTGGAAATGGTGAAAGTAGCAAAAGGTAGTACTTGATGCTCTAATAATCTACTTATTTTGGGATATATTCTGAATGCTAGAAGCACGTTTATTTTGGGAGGTAAGGAGTAAAATTTCATATTGCACCCGTACCTATGCCCACGGGTACTTTTGCGCTCATGCCCGAGTACTTGCGCCCGTTACATTGTTGATAGAATAGATGCATGCTTGATAAAAACTAGAACAGATGCAATTTTCTTAACGTCCCATATGGTGATGTGAGGTGCACCAAAAATTAGGGATGGCGGCATACCTAACATGTAAAATTTCATATTGCACCCGGACCGGGAGTAACATATGCACCTGTATCCAGGTACTTGAACCCATGAGTTATATTACGTTGTCACTAGAATAGATGCATGCTCCTTAAAAACTAGAACATATGCAATTCTTTTTTATTTTAAGCATTGTGTGGTGAAGCGACCTACATAACTCGTACCACTGGTAGAATCTTATACCCGTACCCGCATCCAATGACAAAATTTTGTACCTAAACCCATACTCGTCGAGTACAATACACTACTAGAAATATCCATTTCTATGACGAAAATCTTAATGACGAATCCGAAACTGTCGTAGAAGAGCGCCTTTTATGACGAATATTTCCATTTCGTCATAGATCGGTGGTGACGATCCTGCAACCCTCTATTTCTATGATGAAATCAGGCATCGTCACAAAAAACGTCATAGAAGAGCATAGGGTTTCGTCACAGATCACTCGCGCGTCTCATCTGTGATGATCTCCTTTAAAACTATGACGAACAGGGCTTCGTCATTGAACTAATTACACATCTGTGATGAATAATATTCAATCTGTAACGAATGGCTTCGTCATAGATCTCCACACGGTACTTTCTCCATCCGACGTGTATCTGTGGGACCTATAGTTACTCATCCGTGATGCTTGCAATTTGTCATAAAAGTCTCCGCTCGTCCTTTATCCATGCGACGTGTACCTATGGGACCCTTCTCCATCCGACGTGTACCTATGGGACCTGCAGTTACTCATCCGTGATGCTTGCAATT